GGCCTCCTTATTGAAAGACTTGGCTTTTACGACGCTTGGCGCACATATCGCCTTGGGTCACAGAATTATTGATAGATTTTGAACGTTCTCTGGTTATTTCTCCCGGCAGGGTGACGGGGTCTGGCGTCGGCTTGGCCGAGAGGTGCAAGGAGTTGGTGGGCTTTTGTGGGCTCCTGGTGTGCCCTCAGCCGTGGTGGGCGGCCGGCTTCTGCTCTGCCGGGGGGCACTAGATGTCTTTTGCGTTTTAGCTGGGGGCCGAGTTTTTGGTTTTGCTCCCCAGTGTTCTCTGTGTGTGGCGGGGCCGGTGCTTGTCACCCTTAGGGACCCCTGGGGCTCCCTAATCATCTGCCTGTCTGCGGTTTATTTTTTTGCCGCGAGGCATTTTAGTTTCCAGCGATTGGCATCACGCGTTTCGCGACTAGGCTTGGCGTTTCACCTTTCCGGGCTTCGCGATTAACCCTTCACGGGTACGCCGAGGCGCATCCGATCCCACGATCGTCGTCGCCCCAAAATCAACGTCAACAGTTATGACTTGAGAATCTTCTCTGTTTAGGACAAAGGTTTATTTCCCTGTTGATCAGTAAACTATTATTGACACAGTAATATGATTTCAGACCATCACAAATATTTAGATAACTATCCAAGTGGTCTGAGAGCACCGTTGGTGTCTCCAACTAATCATTTTGTCCTGCGAATAGGCTCAAAAATATACAGTAATATATTTATTTACTGAATTACACTCCATTTCTCGTTGTGTATACACCGAGAGCTAATTTTATAATAATACTAATAATATTTTATTCAGGAAAACTACATACATAGATGCAGAGTTACAAACATACTGTTGAATTTATAGAGCTAGTACATACAATAACTAAAGCCACTAATACGCAGAGCGTTTCGGGCAAATCCTAGACTGTGTTCAGAACTAACTAATACTTGTATGTTAAGGCTGGTAAACTTAAGCCAAACATCATATAAATTTTTTTATATTTTTGTTATAATAGTTTTGCATATAATCTCCAATCCACGTAGACAATGTGTGATTTGCAGAATCAAATCACACACGCACACGGCTAGATAATGGTCTAGAATGGACCGAAACGTCGTTTCTTCATCTTCTGGTGTGTGGTTTGGTCATCATATCTTCAGACACATTATTTTAACTCGACTGCATTTGTTTCAGCGTTTTCTGATTGTATATCTTAAGGGCTGTCTCCCCAGGTGTTGCGTGTAGATGACGTTTGACAGTGAATTTTTTATCACAGCCTTGGATATGTTTCCTCCTTGACCATATTCTTGGGTGTAAAAACTTGTCACTAACTAGAAGGTATTTCTGAAGGGCCTTCCAAGTTGATTATGTGAAGCTTTCAGTTTTTTGTTCAACAGGTGGCATGTGGTTAACGACTGTGGATGACGAGACAATTACCATGTGGTTAACGACTGTGGATGACGAGACAATTACCATGTGGTTAACTAGTGTAAATGACGAGACAATTACCATGTGGTTAACGAGTGTGGATGACGAGACAGTTGCCATGTGGTTAACGTGTGTGGATGACGAGCCAGTTTACGAGTGTGACTGACGAGACAGTTACCATGTGGTTAGCGAGTGTAGATAACGAGACGGTTAACTTGTGGTTAACGAGTGTGGATGACGAGACAATTGCCGTTTAGTAATATATCAGAGAAGACTTCAATTAAACCTTATTATTCCACGTAATTCAAATTCAACATTCAAATTCAAATGTTTATTCAGGTAAAGTACATACATACGAGGTGTGATACAAATATTGATGAATTTGTAGATAGAGTTAGTACATACAATGCCTAAAGCCACTATTACGCAAAGCGTTTCGGGTAGGAAAAACACTAAAGACTAAAACCTAATACTAATTGAGATTAAAGTATAAAATGTGTTGAGAGAAAAAAAAAAATTGGGGGGGGGGGGACATGACAGAAAAACAGCATAAAAATACAATTTGGTCGACAAACAGCATTGTTTAAAAATAGCAGACATGGGTTGACATTATAGGGGTAAGGTAGGTTACAGGGAGTTAATTAGGTAGTGCTTAGTTTTTATCTTAAACTGGTTCAGAGAGGTACAGTCTTTAACATGATTGGGAAGGTCATTCCACATTCTCCACATTTGTAGAGCATTTCTACTTTGATTAAGTCGTACTCTTGGAATATCAAAAAGGTATTTGTTTCTGGTGTGGTTCTCATGGGTTCTGCTACAACCTTCAATGAATCTTTTAATGTCAGGATTGACATTACAGTTCAGTGTGTATATATATATATATATATATATATATATATATATAATATATATATATATATATATATATATATATATATATATATATATATATATATATATATATATATATATATATATATATATATATATATATATATATATATATATATATATATATATATATATATATATATATATATATATATATATATATATATATATATATAATACACATGAGAGGATGTGCAGTGACTTAATATCTAACATATTCAGAGATTTGAGTAGGGGTACCGAGTGATGTCTGGGGCCAGAGTTGGATATTGTCCTAACAGCAGCTTTGTGTTGAGTAATTAGAGGACGTAAATGATTTTGGGTAGTAGAATCCCAAGCATAAATACCATAGTTGAGATAAGGATAGATGAGAGAGTAATAGAGTGTCACCAAGGCAGGGCGAGGTACATAATATCTGATGTTAGAAAAAATGCCAACAGTGTTTGATTTTTTTTTTTTTATATATTTAGAATGTGTCCCTGGATATTCAGCTTGTGGTGAATGAGAACGCTAAGGAATTTGCCATCTACTTTGTTACAAATTTGGGTATTGTTTATCCTGAGATTTATTTGATTTGAGGATTTATTGCCAAACAAAATATAGAAAGTTTTGTCAATGTTCAGGGCGAGTTTGTTGGCAGTTAGTTAAAGATGGACTTTATTTAGCTCAGTATTCACTATGACATTTAAAGCAAGGGAGTCAGGACTGGAGTAAATGAAGGTTGTGTCGTCAGCAAATAGAATTGGTTTGAGGTGTTGGGAGGCATTTGGAAGGTCATTAATGTAGATGAGAAAGAGGAGAGGGCCAAATATGCTGCTATGAGGAACACCAATGTTGATGGGTAGGGTGGGAGAAATTGAATTATTCACAGAAACATTTAGGAGCCTGTCAGTAAGGTAAGATTTGAGGTATTGCAGGGAGTGACCTTTGACTCCATAATGATGTAATTTAAGAAAGTTTTGGTGGTTTACAGTGTCAAAAGCCTTACGCAGGTCCACAAATAACCCAACAGGGAACTCATTTTTATCAAGAGCTGCATGTATCAAATTAATCATACTAATAAGTGCATCGTTAGGGCTTTTTTTTGGGTCTGAAGCCATATTGACAAGAGCTAAGTATATTGTGTTTGGCTAGATAAGAGTAAAGCTACTTGTAGATTAGTTTTTCAAATATTTTTGACAAGTTTGGCAGGATTGATATAGGTCTGTAGTTGTTAACATCAGTGAGATCACCATATTTGTGGACAGGGGTTACTCTCGCTTTTTTTAGAATATCTGGAAAGGTTTGGAGTTCAAGTGACTTGTTGAAGAGCAGGAGCTAAAGATCTGGAGGCTTTTTTGTAAATTAAAGTTGGTACCTCCTCAAGGGCACTAGACTTTGTTTTAAGGGAAAGGATTATCTCATTAACATCAGTGGAATTTGCAGGCGTTAGGTAGAGACTGTGAATAGTTACCTGTAAGATAGTCCTGAACATCAGTACTGGAAGATGGAATATCATTTACAAGGGATGACCCAATGGAAGAGAAGAACCTATTGAACTCAATAGCAGTATCAGAAGCTGTAAGCTGACCATCGTTATTAGACAGGAGTATTGGTTTGTTATTTAAAATCTTCTTTGATCCCAATATTTGTGAAATTGTGCTCCATGTTTTCTTAATGTTGCCCTTTGTTTGGGTAAATTTATCTTCATAGTATTTAGTTTTTGGCTCTTCTAATTATTTTAGATAACAATGATGAGTAATTCTTTGAAAATTCTTTGGAGACGATTCCTAACCTATACATCTTCTCAAGGTCATGTTTTTTATTAATGGATTTAAGTATTCCCTTTGTAAGCTAAGGATTGTTTAGCCTTTTAGTTGTGACTTGTTTCGTTAGAATAGGACAGTGGGTGTTATAAAGGCTGAGAGTTTTTTTAAGAAAAGATTGCACTGCTAGGTTGATGTCCCCTATGTTACCTAATTCGGACTCCCAGTTGACATTAGCAGCAGCAGCTATAAAATTGCCTATAGCAGTTTCATTGTGCAGCTTAAAGCTTATCTCCCTTGTCTCTCGAGGTGGTTTGTTAATGTTAGGAGAAATGTGGGGTAATGGTCTGTAGTGCTATCGATGATTATCCCTGAAATAAGCGGAGAGGTATATGTTGGTCCAGATGTGATCAAGAGCAGTGGCAGTACTATCAGTGATTCTAGTAGGTCTAGTGATTAAGGGTATGAGGAAGCAGGAATTCATACAGTTGAGAAAACTAGCAGCAGTAGGGTTTTCTGGCTCGCCTAGGTCAATATTAAAGTCACCTGCGATAATTAGATGGTTTTTGTTCAGTCTGTTATCTAGTAATCGAAGCCTGTTTGGTCTTGCAATATAATTAGATGATTTATCATGCAACAAACCCTTTGCTAACTGTACCTTCATCAAATGTTAAAACTAATGTGTTGGTTCAGACACACAACCAACGCAGCTGGAGAAATTTGTTTTGTGACGTTTCGGTCCATCCGGGACCATTACACGACCTGATAATGTTCCAGACCGGATCGAAACGTTGTCAATTTTTTCATCTTCAGATTTGGTGGATGGGTGAACTTTCCACCCCATGGTGGACAGAATGGATAGATGTCCACCTCATCTGTGTTTGACTTATTGTCTTTATTAGTTCAGGCTTGGGATTATAAATGAGACGCCGAGATCTTATTTTTTATTTTATTCGTAAAAAAGTCAAGGTATAAAAATCACACTTAAACAAAAACATAAACAAATAAAAACAAGCAGCTGGGACGGACGCTTCACTACCTCGCGTATCCTGCAACGAGAGAGTGCAACTATCAATGAAGGACACTGTTGATGTTAATGTTAAAATGAAGAATAAGACAACTTTTTGTTAGTGTTGATTTGAGACTTTATTCCTTGGAATATATATTATATATACAAATATATAATAGTTGTGTTTGAGGGGGTTGAGCTCTGCTCTTTCGGCCCGCCTCTCATCTATCAATCAATCAACTGTTACCAACTATTAACTATTTTTTTCCACACACACACACACACAGAAAGCAGCCCGTAACAGCTGTCTAACTCCCAGTTACCTATTTACTGCTAAGTAACAAGAGCATTAGAGTGAAAGAAACTCTGTACATCTGTCTCTGCCGGTACTGGGAATCGAGCCCGGGCCACAGGAGTCCTGCGCGCTGTCCACTCCCAAATAGGCACCCATTTATAGGGAGTAGAGGATGTGGGAAAGGAGGGAGGCATGAGGGGTCTGGCGGGTGAGAGAGAGAGAGGAAGGGTTGCATCAAGTGCTCCTGGTCTTCACGCTGACCGAACACCAAGTATAGAATAACTGCGAAATATTTGCCTCAGTGAAAGGAAGCCTTTCTCATTACCCGATGATTCAACGGTAACGTACCGGACCGGCCCCGGTGGATTACTGGCGTATATACTCCTGCCCTGTCATGTACGGTATTGTCGGGGGGGGGGGGAAGAGAGAGAGAGACAGAGAGTGTGCGTGTGAGTGTGTGTGTGTGTGTGTGTGTGTGTGTGTGTGTGTGTGTGTGTGTGTGTGTGTGTGTGTGTGTGTGTGTGTGTGTGTGTGTGAGTGTGTGAGTGTGTGTGTGTGAGTGTGTGAGTGTGTGTGTGTGTGTGTGTGTGTGTGTGTGTGTGTGTGTGTGTGTGTGTGTGTGTGTGTGTGTGTGTGTGTGAGTGTGTGAGTGTGTGAGTGTGTGAGTGTGTGAGTGTGTGAGTGTGTGTGTGTGTGTGTGTGTGTGTGTGTGTGTGTGTGTGTGTGTGTGTGTGTGTGTGTGTGTGTGTGTGCAAGAGTTCATGCTCCAATGCACGCCTGTAAAAAGTATCCGCCCTCTCAACAAAAACGTGTTAGTACCGACCCAGACTTGCAAGTCAGGGGCGAGGATTTAAGTTGGAAAGTTGTCTGTCTGGTTTTTCTATCAAAATGAAGCTAACGCGATCACCGAGGGTGGAGACAACTTACTGTGTGGAAGGTAATATAACTCCCCGCCTGGGGGAGACCAGTCCGCTACCCCAGTAACCCGTCCTACTGATAGAACGTCGCATTTTGACGTATACTTTACCCAAGGCCAAAAATCGTCTTACTAGAAAATGCTAGCGGCTCGTGAAAATGACATACTGTTCCGTTTTCTGTTTCGGGTCACCTGGTAAGGTAGGATAAAGGCACTTTAGTACGACAGTTTCATGACGTTGGGCCACCTTAGGAGGACGGGTTGCGGCACCACGCCCAGTTCCTCAAGGGACTTTTGAAGGCTATCTAAGCACGATGTTTTAACCCATTTCGCCCAGTCCCAGAAGTTAATTCCTATTCATACCTTCATTAAGAGGCCAACAGGAGTATATTCATTTATTATAAACAAATATATATCTAAGTAAATTATCAAATTTTCAGTTCATAACCAAGTGGGCGATTCGCGGCGCTCATGATGCAAGAGTTGGTTTATGATCATATGTACATCACGCAGTGTACGGGGCTCATACTGCTTCCCGGTACATCACGCAGTGTACGGGGCTCATACTGCTTCCCGGTACATCACGCAGTGTACGGGGGCTCATACTGCTTCCCGGTACATCACGCAGTGTACGGGGCTCATACTGCTTCCCGGTACATCACGCAGTGTACGGGGCTCATGCTGCTTCCCGGTACATCATGCAGTGTTCAGTGGCTCATACTACTTCCCGGTACATCACGCAGTGTACGGGGCTCATACTGCTTCCCGGTACATCACGCAGTGTACGGGGCTCATACTGCTTCCCGGTACATCACGCAGTGTACGGGGCTCATACTGCTTCCCGGTACATCATGCAGTGTACGGGGACTCATACTGCTCCCCGGTACATCACACAGTGTACGGGGCTCATACTGCTTCCCGGTACGTCATGCATTGTTCAATGGCTCATACTGCTTACCGGTACATCTCGTAATGTATGGGGGCTCATACTGCTTCCTGGTACATCACAGTGTATGAAGCAAATCATCAATCAACACCAAGTCATCAATCAATCACCAAGTCATCAATCAATCCACAGAGTCATCCACTACCTTGCCTGTCATCCATATGTGTAAGTTTGACTTACCTCCACCACCGACGAATCCACCGCCTCCTTTGCCACCGATGAGTCCACCATCGCCAAATCCGCCACCGATGAATCCGCCACCGCCATGTCCTCCATCGATGAATCCACCACCTCCATGGCCACCATCGACGAATCCACCTCCTTTACCGCCGACGAATCCACCACCACCACCATATCCGCCGCCGCCATGTCCGCCACCGATGAATCCACCATCGCCATGTCCACCATCGATGAATCCGCCACCTCCTTTACCACCGATTATTCCACCATCGATGATTCCGCCGCCGCCATGTCCGCCACCGATGAATCCACCGCCTCCTTTACCGCCAATGATTCCACCACCGCCGTATCCACCACCGCCATGTCCACCTCCGATGAATCCGCCATCAATGATTCCGCCACCTCCCTTGCCACCGAACCCACCCCCGCCGTACCCGCCGCCGCCCACTCCGAGTCCCTTGCCGCCACCAATCCCGCCCTCCAGACCGACGTCGTCCAGGAAAATGTCATCAGGTCCGCCTCCGATTCCTCCACCTCCGTATCCACCTCCAAATCCGCCGCCGAGTCCTCCTCCAAATCCACCTCCGTGTCCTCCTCCAATACCGCCACCATATCCACCCCCACCTCCGTGTCCACCGCCTCCAAATCCGCCACCTCCAAAACCACCGCCTCCGTATCCACCGCCTCCAAATCCGCCGCCACCTCCGTGTCCACCGCCTCCAAATCCGCCGCCTCCAAATCCACCGCCTCCGTATCCACCGCCTCCAAATCCACCGCCACCTCCGTATCCTCCGCCTCCATATCCACCGCCACCTCCGCCTCCATATCCACCGCCACCGTTAACGTACTTGACGGTGGTATAGTAGTGGACAGGGACTGTGATGGGCACGTACACGTACTCGTACCCGTAGCCGCCCCCGCCGCCGCCCTTTTTGCCGCCACCGCCACCGTAGCCGCCGCCGCCGCCAAATTTCGGGGAGGCGAGGGCCTGCGCTGCCACCAAGAACACCACGGCTGCCACCACCCTCTGCGGGGAAGGAAACACGGGAAGGTTACACTGCGTGCCTCCACCTTGGACTGGTCCCGGAAATAGCCAATACTCTGTGTGTAGGATCTTCCCAGCAGGAGAACTAAGCACTGAAGGTTGTATAAATTATCATTTCCACAGCTTAGTAAATATATTCACGTGAAACTGACAATAAGTATGCTACAGAATTTCTTTTTACAAAAAAAACTAGGAAGATGATGCTATAAGCTCCATCACTAATGGAACTCACCATGTCTGCTGGAACTGCTGAGTAGACTAGACGAAGCTTGGAGCCACTCCAAGCATTATATATACGGGCGGTAGTGGTCCCTCTCACCGAGGCGGCGCACAGAGAACATTCACTTGACCCGCTGCTTCACGCGTGTGTAAGACAGGTCAGCCTTCTCACCACCACACAACCTCAGGCTCCTCCTCTGGGTTACCAGGTGAGGTAATCCTTCATAGTCAGCTCCACCACACTCTCATCGGCAACAGTGTTAACCAGTGCCACTGCATCACTGTATTAGCTAAACGTAATGATGAATTCAAAAGTTTTATTCTCATATCATATTAATAATAATATTAATATAAATAACAATAAATTTAATATATATTGATACAAATAAAAACATTAATTCAAATATTATTAATACAAATATTATTAATAAATTTAATATATTTAACGATGAAAACAACAATAAAAATAATCAATCAATTGCCAATATCAACACCCTGCAAAATTTCCATCAATAACAAAGAACAATGGTTGCTGCCCAAGCGTAAATTATCTCCCCCAACACCCAGCCCGTGTGTGGAGAGATCTGTTGGTCCACTCCACACCCAGCCCTTGTGTGGAGAGATCTGTTGGTCCACTCCACACCCAGCCCGTGTGTGGAGAGATCTGTTGGTCCACTCCACACCCAGCCCGTGTGTGGAGAGATCTGTTGGTCCACTCCACACCCAGCCCGTGTGTGGAGAGATCTGTTGGTCCACTCCACACCCAGCCCGTGTGTGGAGAGATCTGTTGGTCCACTCCACACCCAGCCCGTGTGTGGAGAGATCTGTTGGTCCACTCCACACCCAGCCCGTGTGTGGAGAGATCTGTTGGTCCACTCCACACCCAGCCCTTGTGTGGAGAGATCTGTTGGTCCACTCCACACCCAGCCTGTGTGTGGAGGGATCTGTTGGTCCACTCCACACCCAGCCCGTGTGTGGAGAGATCTGTTGGTCCACTCCACACCCAGCCCGTGTGTGGAGAGATCTGTTGGTCCACTCCACACCCAGCCTTGTGTGTGTGGAGAGATCTGTTGGTCCACTCCACACCCAGCCCGTGTGTGGAGAGATCTGTTGGTCCACTCCACACCCAGCCCGTGTGTGGAGAGATCTGTTGGTCCACTCCACACCCAGCCCGTGTGTGGAGAGATCTGTTGGTCCACTCCACACCCAGCCCGTGTGTGGAGGATCTGTTGGTCCACTCCACACCCAGCCTGTGTGTGGAGAGATCTGTTGGTCCACTCCACACCTAGCCCGTGTGTGGAGAGATCTGTTGGTCCACTCCACACCCAGCCCGTGTGTGGAGAGATCTGTTGGTCCACTCCACACCTAGCCCGTGTGTGGAGAGATCTGTTGGTCCACTCCACACCCAGCCCGTGTGTGGAGAGATCTGTTGGTCTACTCCACACCCAGCCCTTGTGTGGAGAGATCTGTTGGTCCGTTCCACACCTAGCCCGTGTGTGGAGAGATCTGTTGGTCCACTCCACACCCAGCCCGTGTGTGTGGAGAGATCTGTTGGTCCGTTCCACACCTAGCCCGTGTGTGGAGAGATCTGTTGGTCCACTCCACACCCAGCCCGTGTGTGTGGAGAGATCTGTTGGTCCACTCCACACCCAGCCCGTGTGTGTGGAGAGATCTGTTGGTCCACTCCACACCTAGCCCGTGTGTGGAGAGATCTGTTGGTCCACTCCACACCCAGCCCGTGTGTGTGGAGAGATCTGTTGGTCCACTCCAAACCCAGCCCGTGTGTGGAGAGATCTGTTGGTCCACTCCACACCTAGGACGAAGGAACGTCCTCAACAACCGTGGTCTGAAGGTGACGAAGGAAGGTCCTCAACAGACCTGGTCTGAAGATGACGAAGGAAGATCCTCAACAACACTGGTCTGAAGGTGACGAAGGAAGGTCCTCAACAACACTGGTCTGAAGGTGACAAAGAAAGGTCCTCAACAGCCCTGGTCTGAAGGTGACGAAGGAAGGTCCTCAATAGACCTGGTCTGAAGATGACGAAGGAAGATCCTCAACAACACTGGTCTGTAGGTGACGAAGGAAGGTCCTCAACAGCCCTGGTCTGAAGGTGACGGAGGAAGGTCCTCAACAGCCCTGGTCTGAAGCACCATTACGCCATACTTCAGCGATATATTTATATAGAAAGTGAGACAAAAGAAACTGATGTCTAAGCCTTGACGTCTAACATATAAAGGTAAATCATTGATCATGTTTTCATCTTATTTAACTATAGTTCCCGAGCAAAGCGACAACAGTCTCACGGACCACAGCATTCGTGGTCATTAACTAACAAGAGCTTAGTTTAACGATGTTTGAAATATGTTCATTACAAGTTCGAGACATATCCGTGATATGTTCTAGACATGTACATCTCTCCATTGAAATTTATGTTGTTAATAGACCCAGTTTTCTAGTTTAGTGCTCAGAATCGTGGACATCAAACAATTTGTTGCTGAATTTCTACAGGACACCTAAACTTCGGTTTTTATATGAACAGTTGGGATGTAAAATTATGTATTGACAAGACTGCATACAACGAAGGAAACATTTAAGAAAATGTTGCCCAATTACGGAACCCTCTGAGAACATCTGTGGCACACTCATAACCCTCTGTGGCACACTCATAACACTGTGGCACACTTAACACTGTGGCACACTCATAACACTCTGTGGTACACTCATAACACTTTGTGACACACACAGATGCTCTTCTACAGCACCAACAACCTTTATGAACACTGTGTAGAAACTTCTTAAGTGTTAAATAAACATATTTGAGAACGGTGGTAATATAGCCAACTCCTCATCACTGACGAAGTGCTCTCTTGTACACACTTATTTGTGTAGAGGAGCTGTAATATATTCTTCCATAGCTGTCAGTGGTCAACCTAATGACGCAACCATTTCTTACTTTACACCGTGATACGCCCTATATATATATATATATATATATATATATATATATATATATATATATATATATATATATATATATATATATATATATATATATATATATATATATATAATGCGTTTAAATCTGCAATTTGAGCCTAATGTAAGATCTTCTGTCCTGTGTGGCAGTAAATATAAGCAGCATCATCACTGCAATAAGACGTAATTGAATTATTCCGACTAGGAAAAATTGTATTTTAATAGTGTCACTAAGGATGTTACAAATAATAATGTGATATATTTGAGAATGGCTGAGATAATAAAATGTTTAACATTCCCTTTCAACAAAAAAATAAATGTGGTCATCGTTTAATTACACAAAACTCATCTTAATTCAGTGATACTTCAAACATGCCGAGAATAGTCAACAAATGTGACACTAAAGTGGAATTAACATAAACTTGTCAAGAACCTGCGTCAAACATATAAACAAACATGTTGTAAGCGCGTGAATCACCTAAAAATATGTGTATTATGCTCAAAATCCGGCATAAAGCACCAGTGACAGACTGATAACGGAAGACGAGCCATCCTGCGAGATGGGGACCTTTTAGCATCACTGACACCATATTCACTCTTGTGTTCTGGAGGACATCCTCATAATGCACCCAGAGTTTGCCAGTGCAGGCTACTGACCACATGGCCCTGTATGACTGACCAGCCTGTGTGGTGAGGATTTTTAGCATCACGGAGCTAGTTCTTGACACACTCTGTACTCCCCTTTGTATAGTCTAGGGCAGCTAGTTCTTGACTCACTCTGTACTCTCTTTCGTATAATCTAGGATAGCTAGTTCTTGATATGGTGACCAGTGTGTACCAGCGGCCAGTGTGTACCAGTGACCAGTGTGTACCAGCGACCAGTGTGCACCAGCGACCAGTGTGCACCAGCGACCAGTGTGTACCAGCGACCAGTGTGTACCAGCGGCCAGTGTGTACCAGTGACCAGTGTGTACCAGCGGCCAGTGTGCACCAGCGGCCAGTGTGCACCAGTTACCAGTGTGTACCAGCGACCAGTGTGCACCAGCGACCAGTGTGCACCAGTTACCAGTGTGTACCAGCGACCAGTGTGCACCAGCGACCAGTGTGCACCAGTGACCAGTGTGTACCAGCGACCATTGTGCACCAGCGACCAGTGTGTACCAGCGACCAGTGTGCACCAGTTACCAGTGTGTACCAGCGACCAGTGTGCACCAGCGACCAGTGTGCACCAGCGACCAGTGTGTACCAGCGACCAGTGTGCACCAGTGACCAGTGTGTACCAGCGACCATTGTGCACCAGCGACCAGTGTGCACCAGTTACCAGTGTGTACCAGCGACCAGTGTGCACCAGCGACCAGTGTGCACCAGTTACCAGTGTGTACCAGCGACCAGTGTGCACCAGCGACCAGTGTGCACCAGCGACCAGTGTGTACCTATAACGTATCGGAAAAGTAATAGAATAAATGAGAAAGGGTGAGGCAGGTAGAGTGGTCAGGGGAAAGGGAAAGTTTAGAATGAGAGGGAGAAAATGAGATCAATGAAAGTAGAAGAATAGAAAGTAAAAGCGCTAGAATAATGGAAAAATAGAAGGTTGCTGCCACAATCCATTTAATTTAAGTATATATATAAGACAAGGAATGGAGCTTATCTGCACCACAATATTATCTGGTGTTATCATATACCCGCTGTACGAATATAACTCATGTAACCAAGAATCTTTAGGTGAACATCTTAAGCCAATAAACTTCAGAGTGATCTCCACTCCAGCTTAAAAAATCCAAAATCTTGGGATCAGAATTAAAGACAATTTACAAAAATAAGTTAATCAATTATATATTTACTATTATGGGAATCATAATTCACCCATTTCACTTGATGTTCAATATGTCAACATTTAATTCACAAATTTGAGTCACCTCACAAGAAATTGAGAGCACTAGGGCTGACTGCCCCTGAAAATTACACAACACTTAAGTTGGAATACACAAAATACGTCACCTTACAAGTTCACTCTCCAAAATCCCTGAGAATACGTTTGATAGAAGGGGGAGGGGGGGGGGGCGCTGGCTGACAGACATATTCACCAACTCGGCCTGACAGGCCTAGTCTGGCTGCGGGAACTTCTCTCTCTGGACTAGCGGTCTAGTTACCACTGTCCTTCTCAATGTCTCAAATGTTCAGTTCCACGGGTATATATAAGAGGGGGGACCAGGAGCTAAGCTCTGCCCTCCAGGAGATAGCTTCTGGCTATCTAACTACCACCTAGACAGCGTCTTGTTTGATGGAAAGACAACCAACCGGCTGCAATTATCAGCATGGCAGAAAGCAAAGTCACTTCACACGACCTGACCCGAAGGCAACCTGTTACAATTAAAACTCTAAAGATGTGACTTCTTAATTACTAAGGGCCGACAAACTGGCGACACGTATCCTGTGTGACTTTTACATAATACATTCGTTTTATGTAAAATAATATACAAAACACATTTATGGTGTTAAACACCGGCAACCAGTGTGCACCAGCGACCAGTGTGCACCAGCGACCAGTGTGTACCAGCGACCAGTGTGCACCAGCGACCAGTGTGCACCAGCGACCAGTGTGTACCAGCGACCAGTGTGTACCAGCGACCAGTGTGTACCAGCGACCAGTGTGCACCAGCGACCAGTGTGCACCAGCGACCAGTGTGTACCAGCGACCAATGTGCACTAGCGGGCAGCCTCATAGCTGCAGGCAAGAGGCAGTGCGCTCCATAACTTGTTTGTCTGGACCAGATATGATCAAGACATTCACTCCGTGAAGGTTAACGCGCTAACACCTGATTGACAGAGCTTCGAGAGCATAACAGCAGCTCATGGGAGGCTAATGAACACAACAGCAGCTCATGGGAGGTTAATGAACACAACAGCAGCTCATGGGAGGTTGATGAACACAACAGCAGCTCATGGGAGGTTTACGGGGGAAGTATTAGAGCATAACAGCAAATTATGGAAGGTTAATGATCATAACAGCAGCTCTTTGAAGTTTTAAGAGACGAACAGCAGGTCATAGAAGGTTTATAAACAAGAGAGGCGCTGTTTAGTAAAGATGTGTAAGCAATAGGTTGCCAGGGAAGGTTCAGGAACGTGATAGCGACCCAGAAGTTTATGAACATGATGAGATCTTTTAAACAGGACCAGAAGATAACTGTTTGAAATATGATACATGTTTAAATGTTTGAAATATTACAAATGCCTTAATGTTTGCTATATAATAAAAGCGTTTGAAATATAACAAAATCTTAACTGCTTGAAAAATAAACGCTTGAAATGTAAAAAATTTCTACACTTTTAACATTTTTGAAATCTTAACCGTTCCCATTAAAATAAAATAATAGCTCTAATGTCTGAATGATAACAACAGCTTGAATGTTTGAAAAATAAGAAAAGCTTAATTGTTTGATACTGAATCAAATCCTAAAGGTGTGATATAACACAACATTAAATGTTTGATAAAGATCAAAAGCCGAAGTTGTCCATTATGGTGTTAATAGACAACACGTGTTGTTTTCACAGATTTTGTCTTCATCAACACCTGTGTTGATCACGACCAGACCTCAACGCTGCCCAAAAGCCTTTTAATCATGCCCCCCTACAAATCACCTTCCCATTTATGAAGGGAAAATCATTCACACATGACTTACAGCTGATTACTGTGGAACTTTTTTCTTTTGAACAGTGTTTCACACACTTCCTGAAAACGTCCAGCCCGTCTTCATCCGACCTGTCAACCCAGGACTATATGACAAATCTATCCTAATTTATGCTGATCTATATCTAGAACTTTAATATATGATAAGACTAATATTGAAATTAGAACAAAACTATTTTTAAACACAATACGCTATAATTGATTAATGTAGGGCGATTGCAGCTTTAACTATCCTGGTCTGAGGACGGGCTGGAACAGGGTGGAATTCCTAGTTCAACAATGATGACCAATGAACGTCTGGATAACTGCTCTGCCTGGGGACCTCCGACCTCTTGACGCGACTTTGGCAATTGGGCTTCGATGTTGCCGTTTGGCATTTCTCTTCGATTGCCAAGAGTGATACAACGCCTGGTGCACTTGTCGCCTGGAGTAACTGACATGTTCGTGCCGGTAGATTTTTCCATTTGCCGGTTGGATCTTCGCGCAGAGCAACAGTGTCCGGCGTGGGTTTGGCCATGAGGTGCTTGGGGTTAGCGGGTCATGGTGGGCGTCTAGTGCATCCTCGGGTCATGGTCGGCGTCTGGCTCCTGCTTTGTCGGAAGTCATTGGAAGACTTCTTTTGACCGACTGAGCTCAAGTTTTGGATGAACCATCGCGATTCTGCTACTTGCGATACTATTTTCCGGTACGCCATTTTTTTTACTTTAGGTAGAGTATAGGTCAAAATGCGACTTATTATTAGGACGGGTTGTGATCGCGACCCAGAGTTCACAGGACGCTTGACACCTTATCGTCTTGGGTCACTGGATGTCGATAGCCTTCCAGTTACCTCACTATGAGGGGTAATGTCCGGCCCTCCTCCCCCCTCTCGGGACTGCAGGGGCTCATCAAACACCAGCCTAACAGTTTGTTGGTCTGCTGAGCGACACATTAGTTGCCGCTGACAGGCGACGTGTAAGCCGCAAGGCTATTTACACGTGCCACCCAACACCGGCACTCCGGGGCGCATCCGGCAACGTGGCCACAAATCAACAACAACACCTTTCCTCTCCTCACATAGACCTAACACATAAAACCACATTATAAAATAATGGAGAAACGTATTATGATGCTGTAGTGATTGAATGAAGGAGAATGAAAGACACAATATATGTGTAAGTGTATTAAAAACCAAATTTTGCGTCATCCTTTCTCAAGTACTGAATGCAATGTTCTGAACAAGGTTGTTTGTTGTTGTTGTTGTTTTAGATTCAGCTACTCGGAACAAAATGTTCCAAGCACCACGTGCTATGGTGAGCCTGTCGTACTTTCCTGGCACTGGAGATCTGCAAGGAACAAGATTCCGAGTACAAGCTTCTAGGAGTTTGTGTTGATATGTCTGACAGAGCGCCTCTCTCGGCCTCCATCATTAGACATCGCTGTGATTATGCTCCCCTGGGACTCGTCAAGGGATGTCGAAATTTTTCAAGTCGAAGTTAGAATGTCGAAGTAAATACTCAATTATCCCGACATCTGGGAACTGTTAGCAGCGGTCCGTGGAATCATTATTCCTAGTGTGGACACCACAAGGTCTGTGCTTATGTGAATGAATGATATTAGTTGTTTTGCTTCTTAAGTATAATTTTATGGTTAATCGGAACTTCTTTATTAAAAGGGTTATTATCTTTTCTATCTCTATAGAATCTAGTCTTTTGCTTCAAGTAGCGTTTTGCAGTCCTTACTGTCGAGAAGGAATGTTGTTACCCGGATCTCGTCTACCCAGGAAAAGATAATGCTGGAAATTTGTGATTAATGAACCTCTAAGGTTATTTTCTGAGTTTATGATCATTATACAATATACAACAAAGAGGTGAGTTTATGAAACAGAATTGTTAGGATTATTTAAGATTGAATCCAGTTAATAGTTTTTATTTAAAGTTTCGTTACAATAATGAGTGACATGAAGGTGATGACATATACAATATACAGGCCATGCACGGTATACAGACCGTACACAGTATATGAGACATACACAATATGCAGACCATTCACTATATATAGACCATACACGGTATACAGACCATTCGCGGTATACAGACCATATACAATATGCAGCCCATACACGGTATACAGACAATACACAGTATACAGACCATATACAATACACACCATATAAACCTGAAGTTACTGCGTCTCTGCTATTTCCCGTACCCTGAAATAATTCAGCAGGTTGTAATACAGAATATACTCACAAATCCTGCTTCATACATTGCAAATGCAACATAAACGTATACATATCTTGCACGTATGTCAGTATTGCATGTAAATATTTATACACCAAGATACACAAAATATAAATGTGAGTCAATATCAGATAACAGTGTAAAGTGTGTGTGCGTGTGTATACAATGCACTCTGTTAACAGATGGAATGCAATAGGCAGTGATGTGGTGGTGGCAGACTCCTTGCACAGTTTCAAATGTAGATATGATAAAGCCCAGTAGGCTCAGGAATCTGTACTAAAGAGCCAGAGCTCAATCCTCGAGAGCACAACTAGGTGAGTAGAACTAGGTGAGTAGACCCACACACACACACACACACACATCTCCCCTTGGATACTAAAGAAAGGAGCAGAAGAACTGTGCCTGCCATTCTCCATAGTGTATAACAAATCACTGGCAACAGGGGAACTGCCAGAAATTTAGAAAGCAGCTAACGGAGTCCTGATATACAAGAAAGGGGATAGACAGGAGGCACTGAACTACAGGCCAGTGTCCCTAACCTGCATACCATGCAAGCTGATGGAGAAGATTGTGCAAAGAAAGCTAGTGGAACATCTGGAGCGAAATAACTTTGTAACACAGCATCAATATGGGTTCAGGGATGGCAAGACCTGCCTCACAGGGTTACTTGAATTCTACGACCAGGCAACAAAAATCAGGCAAGAAAGAGAAGGGTGGGCAGACTGCATATTTTTGGATTGCCAGAAAGCCTTTGATACAGTACCACACAAGAGGCTAGTGAAAAAGCTGGAGATGTAGGCTTAAGCGAAAGGGAAGATACTCCATTGGATAAAGGAGTACGTTAGCAACAGGAGACAACGAGTCAGTGTGAGAGGTGAGGTCTCAGATTGGCGAGACGTTACAAGTGGAGTCCCGCAGGGGTCAGTCCTTGGACCTATACTGTTTCTGATATATGTAAATGATCTCCCAGAGGGTATAGAGTCGTCTCTCTCAATGTTTGTTGATGATGCAAAAATTATGAGGAGGATTGAAACAGAGGATGATAGTAGGAGGCTACAAGATGACCTAGACAGACTGAGTGAATGGTCTAACAAATGGCTGTTGAAGTTCAACCCGAGTAAATGCAAAGTAATGAAACTGGACAGTGGAAACAGGAGGCCAGACACAGGATACAGAATAGGAGATGAAGTACTTAATGAAACGGACAGAGAGAAAGATCTAGGAGTTGATATCACACCAAACCTGTCTCCTGAAGCCCACATAAAAAGAATAACGTCTGCGGCATCTGCGAGGCTGGCTAACATCAGAATAACGTTCAGGAACCTGTGTAAGGAATCATTCAGAATCTTGTATACCACATATGTAAGACCAATCTTGGAGTATGCGGCCCCAGCATGGAGCCCGTACCTTGTCAAGCACAAGGCGAAGCTGGAAAAAGTTCAAGGTATGCCACTTGACTAGTCCCAGAATTAAGAGGCATGAGTTACGAGGAAAGGCTGCGGGGAAATGCACCTTAAGACACTGGAAGACAGAAGAGTAGGGGAAGACATGATCACAACCTAAAAAATCCTCAGGGAAATCGACCGGATAAACAAGGATAAACTATTCAACACTGGTGGTACGCGAACAAGGGACACGTGTGGAAACTGAGTATCCACATGAGCCACAGAGACGTTAGAAGGAACTTTTTCAGTATCAGAGTAGTTAACGGATAGAATGCATTAGGCAGTGATGTGGTGGAGGCTGACTCCATACACAGTTTCAAATGTAGATATGATAAAGCCCAGTAAGCTCAGGAATCTGTACACCAGTTGATTGACAGTTGAGAGGCGGGACCAAAGAGCCAAAGCTCAACCCCTGCAAGCACAAATAGGTGAGTACACACACACACATACATACACATACACGGGTCTGTGGAAAAACGGCAGCAAGTTCTTGCAAGAAAAACACAAAGGTCACAGACCTCGTTAAGAATGTTGGTGAATGAACACAGTAGAAAGCGAAAAATAGTTAAGCGGAAAATCAAATTAAGTAAAGCGATTGAGCCATGAGAAGAATTGCGGAAGTTTATAATATAAAATAAAACCTACAATATGATGGTACTATAGGCCTAGGCAAGCCAGGTGAAAAGGAGGCCGTGCATGAGACGCACAAGCTGGACCTGGAGGCTCAGTGGAAGGGATCGATGAGATATGGCGTGAAAGTCTTTTATTTCCGCATTGCTGAATATATGCAATGGCTTGTGGCACATTGTCTTGCTGATATTGGATCATAGATTGACATGAGGCAGATTTTCTGGTATAGGATCATACATTGACTTGTGGTACATTTTGTGATTATTATAGGATCATACATTGACTTGTGGTACATTTTGTGATTATTATAGGATCATACATTGACTTGTGGTACATTTTGTGATTATTATAGGATCATTCATTGACTTGTGGTACATTTTGCGGTTATTATAGGATCATAAAATGACTTGAAGCAGATTTTCTGGCTATAACGGGGTCATACATTGACTTGTGGCAACTCTGCTGGAAATTATAGGACCATCCAATGACTTGTGGTACATTTCATGGCTATTATAAGATCATATATTGACTTGAATGAAGCACATTTTCTGTCTATTATAGGATCATACGTTGACTTGTTGCACATGTTTTGGCGATTATAGGATCATACATGGACTTGTGGTGCACTTTATGGCAATTACAGGATCATTCATTGGCTTATGGCCCATTTTCTGGCTACTATATGATCATACTAAGACTTGTTTACCATTTTCTCTCTATTTTAGGATGATACATTGACTTGGGGCAAGTTGTTTAGCTATTATGTAATCATATGAATTATATAACAAGTAAAAGTGGCCAAGATGAGAGCAATAAGAATGGTGTTCAACAAGGGAAGTCTCGCGCATGACTGGTCAGAGTAAACACAGAGCTAATGTGGTGAGGCTGATGGCGTGGACCAGGCTTGTCTCTTTATACAATTACTAGCAAGATTCAAACTCAGAGGAGTAGCTCCCTGTGCGCGCACGCATGGCGCGCGCGCACACACACCCACACCCACACACACGCACATCACACACACGGGGGCCGGCCGGCCGAACGGACGGGGGCCGGCCGGCCGAGCGGACAGAAAGCTGGGCTTGTGATTTTGTGGTCCCGGGTTTGATCCCGGGCGCCGGCGAGAAACAGTGGGCAGAGTTTCTTTCAACCTATACCCCTGTTACCTAGCAGTAAATAGGTACCTGGGAGTTAGTCAGCTGACACGGGCTGCTTCCTGGGGTGTGTGTGTGATGTGAAAAAAATAGTATTAGCAGTAGTAGTTAGAAACAGTTGATTAGAAATAGTATTAGCAGTAGTAGTTAGAAACAGTTGAAACATACACACACACACACACACACACACACACACACACACACACACACACACACACACACACACACACACACACACACACACACACACACACACACACACGCACACTCTTGCATCAGAGGCCATTGGGTGTAGCCAAGAATAACATTAGCAGCACCACATCCGGTTGTTGCAGGACGGAGCAACACTTCAGTCATGCAGTAATTGAATTCAGCAGCTTTGCAATCTTGCTCAGTTGCTGACCCCATTATTTGCCTCTATAACCCTTCCCCCCCTTCCACGGGAGGGATATGGGGTGCACAATAATCAATGAATAAAATGCTAAAATGGAATTAACTATTCTTCATCTGGACCAAAGAGTTGGTCACTCACAAAGTTTAAACCATTAAAATTAAAACTTTCATGTCTTAGAATTCTGTAAAAACGTTTACCACTTGTTAAAAAAAAGAGACGAAAAATTAGGTCAAAAGCAGAAGCGAGAGGAGGAAGTGGCTAAGCAATTAGTGGGGAGTGTACAGCAGCAGTGAGTGTGTAGCGGAGTGACTCCACTCCCAGGACCTGCACCCGCTCACTACCTGTGTCAACAACTGCTTGCAATATTAAGTCAGTTGGAATCTGACATCAGAATGATAAGTGAAATTGCTTACAGAGGAAATAGACTCCATGAGAGAGGGAGAGAGAGAGAGAGAGAGAGAGAGAGAGAGAGAGAGAGAGAGAGAGAGAGAGAGAGAGAGAGAGAGAGAGAGAGAGAGAGAGAGAGAGAGAGAGAGAGAGAGAGAGAGAGAGAGAGAGGGGGGGGGGAGAGAGAGAGAGAGAGAGAGAGAGAGAGAGAGAGAGAGAGAGAGAGAGAGAGAGAGAGAGAGAGAGAGGGAGAGAGAGAGAGAGAGAGGAGAGAGAGAGAGAGAGAGAGAGAGAGAGAGAGAGAGAGAGAGAGAGAGAGAGAGAGAGAGAGAGAGAGAGAGAGAGAGAGAGAGAGAGAGAGAGAGAGAGAGAGAGAGAGAGAGAGAGAGAGAGAGAGAGAGAGAGAGAGAGAGAGAGAGAGAGAGAGAGAGAGAGAGAGAATCAGATATTATGTTCCCCACTCTGCTCTCCTCTCCTCCCATTATACTACAAACTAATCTATTCCTATCGTGCATACGTTGTCTGTGCATGGGGTTCAATCACTTCAAATTACCTTAAGCTCATCATCACCCAGCAAAAATCTTCTATCAGAACTATAACAAACTCTGTCTTCAAACAACACATAAACGTTCTGTTTAAGTCCCTTAACATGCTAAACATAAACTCACTCAACACGCATTCTCATATGCTATTTACATATACAAAAACTTGTTCCTAAATGCCAATCTTGATCTAAAACTTTTCCTTCATTGGTGTAATAGAACCCATGAGCACCACACCAGAAATAAATATCTCTTTGATATCCTCAGAGTCAAACTAAATCTGTGCAAACACCCCTGATAACTCCCTTCCCTTCCATGCAAATAAAAGGGTCCAGTCTTTAGAATTGAATTAGTCAGATCCAGTCTGACTAATTGAAAAAATTGTCCAACCTGATGCCAATGTGCTTCAGGGTATAGTATGCTGAGGTAGTAGGTTGTGGAATGTCAATTTTTATCGATCTACTAATCCTCTGAAGCTTAGACTTATGATGAAATCCTCATACCCCCTTCCATGTGATCCAACGGTATACTTGCTGAGGGCTTTCTCATAATTTCATTTCCTCTCACTTAATTATTTTGTACGGCCCATTTCACATTTCATTATTTTATAATGCACTGTACTGATTTGTGGGAAGACAGTGACCTGGTAATACCAGATTCTGTGACTTGACAAATTCAGTTGTGCTAGTATCGTCGCCATGATATCGTTCTGTTAGTATCGTCACCATGATATCGTTCTGCTAGTATCCTCGCCATGATATCGTTCTGCTAGTATCTTCACCATGATATCGTTCTGCTAGTATCGTCGCCACAGTATCGTTCTCAAAGTAGCGTGGTCATAGTATCGTTCTCCCCAGTATCGTGGTCACAGTACCGTGGTTACAGTAGCGTGGTGAGAGCGTTTTCAATTCCTCGGGAGCATGGAGGCAGTTGAGTGGGCGGGTCAGTCAGACTATGATGCTCCTCCACCGGAGGCGACAGCTGTGGCTTGTCATTATAATATCGGAAAGTTTAACGCTAAAGCCTTTCATTATAAGACTGGAAAACAACTATGATTGGAAAAAATGAACAAAATCACTTTCAGCTTTCACTGCAGTTTGACCGTTGCATCCCAGAGATTAACGCTCGTTTGGTGAAGAGAAGCCGTGACACGCGCCACAGTGATGGCCGCCTCGCGTAACTCTCACTGTTAAACCACTAATGAGACACACCCTTCCAGTTTCTTCTATTCTGTTTCCTCCGTCTCTACCTCCCGTTCCATCTCGCCCTCCACTTCCCTCCTCCTTCCCCTTCCACTCCTACGCAGCCTCGACCAACCACTTGGGCTGGACGGTAATGCGACGGTCTCGCTTCATGCAGATCGGTGTTCAATCCCTGACCGTCCAAGTGGTTGGGCACCATTCCTTTTCCTCCGTCCCAGCCCAAATCCTTATCCCTGACCCCTTCCCAGTGCTATAAGGAAGCACTGAGGTGTTGCCTCCGGGGGTGTAGTGTGGGGAGGTGTAGCCTCCAGTGGTGTAGTGTGGGGAGGTGTATCCTCCAGTGGTGTAGTGTGGTATGTGGGCTTTTGTTTTCACGATATAGAAAAGTAAATATGTAGGCATATGAGACTTACCTCCGTATCCTCCTCCATAACCCCCTCCGTATCCGCCTCCATAGCCTCCGTGTCCGCCTCCATAACCACCTCCGTGTCCGCCTCCATAACCACCTCCGTGTCCGCCTCCATAACCACCTCCGTGTCCGCCTCCGTAACCACCAACGTAGTGAACGGTTTGGTGGTGGTGGACAGGGACGTGTACGGGAACATAGACGTAGTGAGGGCGGCTATACCCGCCGCGGCCACGACCCTTGTGGCCCGGGGAGGCGAGGGCCACGGCCGCCACCACCAGCAGCAACAAGGTCAACACACGCTGTCGGGGAGATCAGGCAAGGTCAGGAAGGCGCATATTATCTCACATAAACCTGCAGTTGTCTCTCAAAACCCCCAGCTCAGGCGTCTGTGAGGTCTGATACTGCTTTAAGGCAGTAGGTAGCAGGCGATGGACAACACCAGTCAAGAGCCCTTGGCCTATGTTTTGATTTTTATGTTGAAAAAACAATTCTAACGCATTTGACATATGGTACTCTGAAGGCCAGCATAAAGATAAAAGTTAAAATTCTACAGTAGACAATCAGGTACAAAAATGTAAACATTGTTGATCAAGAGACAAAATAAGCCTTAATGCCACAAAGCTATAATTAGTTGTTCTGTTTGGAAGTCTTAGCAGTAATCGAAATATTTGGCATGACAACTACAGATCTAATTCAAATTGTCATAAGTCTGGCCCAGAAATGATGACATGGACCCCTTGCCAAGATCAAAGAGACTTGAGAGCAAACCAGCATCCGTTGTGACCACGGGAGCTTACCATGGCTGTCGAATACTGCATGCAAACTGGACCTAAAATGACTTAGGCCCCGGGCAATATATATATATATACCGAAATGGAGCCCGTCACTGGACCCAAACTTACATTCACCATTGTGGAACCCCCCGCCCCCAACATCCCCAACCTTGGAGAGCCGTGGCGTAATTTCAAGAGTCCAATCAAAAATTTAAAATAAAACGAATGTTTTTACGTTGTCTTTCGTGGACGCGCGAAATGGTAAAAAGTTTGGTCTGTCTCCTGGTCTCTTTTTTTTCCTTCTCCGGCAGGTGTGTATCTCCTGGCTCGTGGTCTCCCCTGCAGGTGTGTGTTGGTATTTCCTGGCTCGTGGTCTCCACCTGCAGGTGTGTGTTGGTGAGTATCTCCTACTTCGTGGTCTCCCCCTGCAGGTGTGTGTTGGTGAGTATCTCCTGTCTCGTGGTCTCCACCTGCAGGTGTGTGTTGGTGAGTATCTCCTGGCTCGTGGTCTCCCCCTGCAGGTGTGTGTTGGTGAGTATCTCCAGGCTCGTGGTCTCCACTTGCAGGTGTGTATTGGTGAGCATCTCCTGGCTCGTGGTCTTCCCCTGCAGGTGTGTGTTGGTGAGAATCTCCAGACTCCTTACTCCAGGATGTTCCAATGAGTATCCCAAATTATAATCTATATAGATGTGACAGAGCAATTATGTCAGGTGGAGGAGTAGGTCTGTATATTGAAAAGGAACTGGCATGCACAGCGCTCCTGAACTCGACCAATGAGGTGGTAGAGGTACTCGTAATCAAGGTAAAAAATATATATCTAATTGTTATTCTATTATATAAACCGCCAGATGCTACAGTTGAAGAATTCACCGAGCAGATTCACAAAGTAGAGACTTTTCTTGATAACCTAGCAAACCCAGTACCAGATATTATCTTCCTTGGAGACTTCAATCTACCTAGTTTAAAATGGAGAATAGTAAACAATAAAATTAATACAGGAAATCAACCTGGAAATAACCAACCATAGGTCAGAGAACTACTGAGAATCTGTGACAAATTATCTCTCAGTCAGCAAATTACAGAACCAACTAGGAACGAAAACACGCTGGACCTGATACTCACGAATAATGATGAGCTATTCAGAGACATTACTGTCTCAGACACTACGTACTAGGATCACAAGATCATTTTAGTGCAAACTAACGTTATTAACGATTGTAGACCCAAGAGAAACAACAAGCGAGAAAGGCTATTCAGTAAATTAACTTTTAATAATAAAAGGATAGACTGGGAGAAAATAAACAGGGACCGTACACACATTCAATGGGACACTGTTCTAAATAATATAAATCCTACACAAAGAACAGAAAAACTGACTTCGGAAGCGTGTTAAAATTAAGTCTGTCTGAAACATGTTCCTTTGAGGGAAGCCAGAAAGAGGTCCAACGTAGAAAGAGAACGCAGAACTACAGTACAAAAGAAGAAAAAAAATACCGGAAAGGCTTAAGAAGACACGCTTTCCATATACAGAAGGAATAATTTAAACAAGGAGATTTAATCAATCGAAAAGAGGCTGAAGCATTCATATCAGATTGAAGAAAGGCAACTAGAACAGAAAGCAATTCAATAAATAAAGAAAAACCCAAAATATTTCATCACATATGCGAAATCAAAAGCAAAAACTACTGCCAGTATTGTACCTATTCGTGCAAGTGAAGTTTCATACAAGGAGGATGACAAAGAAATAAGTGAAATCTTAAAAAAAAACAGTATGAGGACATGTTTAGCACTTTAATAAACAGCATGAAAGTGGACGAAACGGACAACTTGTTTATGTGTGATATCCAAACCTCCTGTAAATATAATTGATATCAACACGAGCGTGGCAGATTTTGAAAGGAAGAGTGACAACATGTCTAAGCACTCAGCCCCGGGGCCAGACTCCTGGAATTCAATATTTATAAAGAAATGCAAAGTGCCAGTAGCATAGGCACTCAGTATAGTGTGGAGGAAGAGCTTGGACACCGGGGAGATACCAGGTGCGCTTAAATCCGCAGACATAGCTCCTCTACACAAGGGAGGGAGCAAAGCATTGACAAAGAATTTTAGACCAGTTGCACTAACGTCCCACATAATAAAAGTATTTGAGAGAGTGATCAGGAGTCAGGTCACTGGTTTCAGGAAACCAATGATCTCCACAACCCAGGCCAACATGAATTTAAAGCGGGAAGATCATGCCTCTCACAGCTATTTGATCACTATGACAAAATCACTGAGGCATAGAAGAAAAACAGAATGCCGATGTGGTATACACGGACTTCGCAAAAGCATTCGATAAATGTGACCATGTGGTGATAGCACACAAAATGAGGTCAATGGAAATAACTGGTAAAGTAGGACGTTGGGTACTCAAGTTTTTTGTCGAACCGAACACAAAGAGTAACAGTCAACTATATAAAATCGAGTCCAAGCTCAGTTAAAAGATCTGTGCTGTTCCTTACTGTCATATCAGATATAGAATCAAATATAAGTCACAGTTTCGTATCATCCTTTGCAAATGACACAAAAATAAGCATGAAAATTACCTCTGTGGTCTCCTCCTGCAGGTGTGTGTTGGTGAGTGGCTCCTGCCTCGTGGTCTCCCTCTGCAGGTGTGTGATGGTGAGTATCTCCCGGCTTGTGGTCCCCCCCTTACAGATGTGTGTTGGTGAGTATCTCCTGGCTCGAGGTCTTCCCCTGCAGGTGTGTGTTGGTGAGTATCTCCTGGCTCGTGGTCTCCCGACTGCAGGTGTGTGATGGTGAGTATCTCCCGGCTCGTAGTCTCCCCTGCAGGTGTGTGTATTGGTGATTATCTCCTACCACGTGGTCTCCCCCTGCAGGTGTGTGCAGGTGAGTATCTCCCGGCTCGTGGTCTCCCATGGATGTTGCGATTAACGATGCATAAGCAACAGGGCTCCATTAAGGAACATATAATCTCTTCCCACAACCAGACCATCACCAGAGAAGTCTTAACAAAAAACACGGAAATCATCGATAGATACAGCGATAGCAGGCGGCTTGATATCTGCGAGGCACTACACATCAAGAAGTCAACACCAGCAATCAACAGCCAATTAATGCACAACTATATTCTACCCACTTCAAGACTCCGTACCAATATAGAAGCATCAAGAAATATGGGCCAATAGGCCCTTTGCATTTACTTCCATTCTTCCCTTTAAATTTACCCAATATTACCCAATATTTCGTGTTCTATCTTGTGTTGAAAGTTTGTTTTCACCTCATCCAAAACTGTTGGAGCATATCACCTCACCCAAATGCAGGTCTATAAAATGAAAAGCCGTTTAAATTATAGCACAGTAGAACTCTGTGTAGTGTTTGCAGGTTATAGTTGTGTGTGAGTGTAAACTAAAGTCTTTGAAAATGTAATAAGTTATTACGAAACGCGTTCAAGTGTCGCGTCAAACTAGAAATAAAAATGAATTTTGGAGAATTGATTTTTCAATTACCATCGACAGTGAAAAGAAACATATAAATATTGAGAAAATTCGTGTTAGAACTATTAATCTTACTTTTTCGGTCATATTTAATAATATATATATATATATATATATATATATATATATATATATATATATATATATATATATATATATATATATATATATATATATATATATATATATATATATATATATATATATATATATATATATATATATATATATATATATATATATATATATATATATATATATATATATATATATATATATATATTTAATAAATATACGTTATATATATATATATATATATATATATATATATATATATATATATATATATATATATATGACAATGTCAGACCACGGAGGAAAAATGAAACAGGAATTTCGGCTTTGTTAAAGCCTTTGTCAACTTTTAAGTTATAATATTGCACAACGTATATTAATACATCTTCAGAAGGAGATGTATTAATGAATACATCTTCATATGATGAATACATCTTCACTCCTTCTGAAGATGTATTAATATACGAAAGTACTTAAGGAAATTCCTGTTTCATTTTTCCTCCGTGGTCTGACATTGTCACAGGCTTTTTAATCACGTGTTTATTTTCGTGATATACACACACATATATATATATATATATATATATATATATATATATATATATATATATATATATATATATATATATATATATATATATATATATATATATATATATATATATGTATATTTAAACTTTATAACCCTTCAAAAAATCGAACCACGTCCACAGGAGTTTTCCCAATGGCTGTTGAATTCTGTAACCACTATATCAGCGTTTCGTTACAAGTATTAAATAGTGGTGAGAGTAACGGGCCCCAACACACGCGTATTGCACATTGAGCACTGTTATCTCCTCTGTTCCTTGAATCGTTCTGGGTCATAAGAGTTTATAGTGATAACTTTGGGGACCAATCAAGTTGTCTGCACATATGAACACTATGTGTGTGCTCCCAGCATGTTGATGGAAATAATGAAATAATTGTGTCTAATATGCATCAGGCGTGTTGCCTGGTACTGGGAACATGCGGGTCCCAGTACCAGTACCAACCATACCCCTGCCAGCTCAGCACTATAACCACTCTGCTTGCAATTTCCTACATAAGTGATGGACCATCGTGGAACCCAGTCATTCCACATAATCTGTCTTCTATCCAGCGGCCAATGAAGACCTTTGACAAGCCATTCCCAACTGGTTTTCAGGCTTACACAGCGAAAAATGATATATTGAAACACAAAATATGGCAGTGCAATGTTATTGGCAATATTTACACAACATGCGAGAATCGCACATGGACTAGTGAATGTGTTGCACGAGACCAGATCAGTTCAACTGTTTCTGCCCGAAACGCTATGCGTGCTAGTGGCTTTTGAAGAATGTAAAAATACCAATATTATGTAATCTCACAAACCCATTGTACCTTCTTGTAAATAAATAAATAAATAAATACGTAAATAACTTGCTCGCGGAGCTCACAGCGGCCGGGGCAATTGAGGTGATCCTTACG